AAAGTTTCACACTTCTCTGGCCAATATCTCCGTAACCGTTCGACTTTGGACATAGGTGTTTTGGGTTATATCGGCATACTTTAACATAAGGAACACCCTCCCGAAGTCTGGCACATTCCTCCTGGGACACCCTGTATTATATATTCGTATAATAGCCAAACGTCCAACCTTCTGTGCCTCCCACAAATTTCTTCCAAAAGGCGTAGGAAAAAAAATGGTCTTCTTAGAGTGGTAACCTAACAAAGTTGTAGCTCTTCTTTGTATTTATAAAATTCTGCACAGGGGTGTCAAAGAAGCTTCGACATAAGATGTATGAACTATGTTGTTTGTCCCAAACGACGCATCGTAGAAAAAATGGCGGTAAATATGAGAAACGTTCATTTTGGTGAGATATCTTTGGAAAAATAATTGATGTTTCACTCCCCCCATGTCTTCATGGAGTAATGCTTAATTAGTTAAGCAGAGGGACAACTTTTCCTATTCTACTTCTTTCAGTTAAGTTGCAAAGAGGGGGCCTAATTCGCTTAGTGGGGGGAGTTCAACTGGGTCCAATCGCCACGGCGGCCACTGATTAGCCTATTGTAGCCTGCCCCGGGTGATTATGATGATGGAGAATTTGGTGGAATGAAGATTGGCAGGGGAAACTGAAGTACTCGGAGAAAACCGGCCCCAGCGCCACTTTGTCCACCACAAATCCCACTTGACCAGACCCGAGCCGCGGCGGTGGGAAGTCAGCGACTAACCGCTTAAGCTATGGTGCGGCCCGAGGGGGCTTAAAGCCCAATACGACAACTTTCAAGCGTGTCTAGCATTATAACTCTACATCTGTGCCATTTTAAAAAAAATGCATTCTAAATGTAAACGGAGTCACATATGCTATTCTTGAAAAAGCCGCTATTAATATTTTCACATTTACTAGTTTCACGGTAACTTGGTTGTTTGTTGGAATAGTTATATACGTAGGTCGTACCGAAAGTCACGAGCAACTTTTTTTACATGCAACCTGGGAACAGCAGATGAGAGAGAGTATGGTGGTAGGTGGAACCAGTAGTTGTGTTAACCTTGAGTGTATTGTGACGTCAATAGCTTGCATCACGTGACCAGTATCACTCCTAACAAAATGGCCGACAACGATACGTCGTTTCGCCAGCGTGCTGTAATCGAATTTCTTGTGAAAGAGGAAATCCCTGCTGCAGAAATTCAGCAGAGACTTCAGCGTGCTTATGGAAGTGTGTGCATGGGTGCGAGCAGTGTTCAAAGATGGGCGAAATATTTTAAAGATAGGAACACCAGCATCGAAGATGAGCCTCGGAGCGGTCGTCCTGGAACAGCCTCAACTGAACGCAACAAGGAAAGAGTGGATGAGATAATTCAAGATGACAGGCGTACGACTTTGGACACAATAGCCCGAAAACTTGGAATGGGGCACAGTGCACTACAGGAGATGATTGAAAGCTTGGGCTATAGGAAAGTTTGTGCTCGTTGGGTCCCGCGGTTATTGACCGAAGACCACAAAGGTCAGCGAAAAGCCATCACCTCAGAACTGCTGCAGAGATATCGACAGGAAGGCGACGATTTTTTTCTCTGTATTGTGAGAGGTGACAAAAGCTGGTTTCACCATTTCGAGCCTGAAACGAAACGGCAGAGTATGGAATGGCACAATTTGCATTCTCCATCAAAAAAGAAGGCAAAGACAGTTCCATCAGCTGCGAAGGTGATGGGCACAATCTTCTGGGATGCAAAGGGGTTTATTCTGGCCGAATTCCTGGAACCTGGGCAAACCATCAATGCTGCACAAGCTCCGTCGTGCATTGTGCGATAAACGTCCGGGACGAAACATCATCATCCTGTATGACAACGATCGCCTCACATTGGAAGCAATTGCAAAGGTTGGGTGGGAAGTTCTTCCACACCCCTCCTATAGCCCTGATCTGGCACCCTCCGACTACCATCTTTTCGGATTTGTGAAGGATCAGCTGCATGGACAACGTTTTGAGACAAGGGAGGCAATTCAGAAAGCAGTGTGTCAGTGTCTTTAGATGGCTGGAACGGAAGTTTACAGAAGGGGAATTTTCAAACTCCCAGAACGCTGGGAGAAATGTGTACAAAGAAGTGGCGATTATGTGGGAAAATAAAGAAAGGTATGTAGATTGAGGTGGTGTATTTGGTTTGTCAATAATAAAGCATGTTACTTTACAAAAAATTGCTGCTCATGACTTTCAGTACGACCCTCGTACATATACATGTATATGTATATAACTATGTATATTCATATAATTATACAGTGGATGGACAAAAATAATTAAAACACCCAACAAAAAGCACATTACCGTGATTAATATGGTGTAGGACAATTTCTGGCTTGCAGAACTGCTTGCAGTCTCCTTGGAAAGAATAAATAGAGGTCCTGTATGATTTGCAAGGGAATCTTGTAACATTCTTCCTGCAAAACATTGGCAAGTTCGGTTAATGTTCATGGAGGTGGATAACGAGCATGCAGATTACTCTCCAAAACAGACCAGAAAGGCTTAATAATATTGATATCTGGCGATTGTGGGGGCCATGGCAGAAGTGACACTTCATCTTCGTGCTCAGAAAACCAGTCCTGGACAATGTGAGCTGTGTGAACACAGGCAATGTCGTCTTGGTAAGTGGCATCACCAGTGGTGAACAAAGTTTGCACAATGGGATGGACCTGGTCACCCAAAATGGTCACATAGTTGTTGGCAGTGATGTGACCTTGCAGGGTAATGATGGGTCTGACAGAATACCACAATCGAACCCTTGCCATGTTTCACTCTTGGCATCAAACAATCTGGATCCTAAGCTTGGGATGGCATTCTAGAGACGTAAACTCAGCCAGAAGTAGGAAAGAGTGTGAAGGTGGACTTATCTGACCAAATGACCGTCTTCCATTGCTCCACAGTCCAGGTTTTATGGCTTCGGCACCACATTCTCCTCTTACTGGTATTTTGATCACTGATGAGTGGCTTTGGAATTGCAGCTTGTCCAGAAATACCCTGCTTGTAGAGTTCCCTTCATATTGTTTTGGTGCTGACAGGGTTTAGGAGCATGATATTCAGTTCAGTAGTCACTTCTGAAGCTGCAGTCTTCTTACTTTTTGTCACAATTCTACACAATGCTAGTCTGTCTCAATCACTCAACACACATTTCCGTCCATGCTGGTGTTCATTGGATGCAGTTTTTTCAGTCCTCCTGTATGCTGTCATAATCATGGATACTGTGCTTCGTGAAACGCCAAGAACCTCGGCTACCTTGGTTACAGAAGCAACCACCATATGGGCCCCAACAATTTGTCTGTGTTCGAATTCTGTTAGCTCTGACATGATGCACTAAAAATTGCAGAGAACACTCGACAACAAATGAAGCTTGCAACGTATTGCGGAGGTTGTACAGGTAGTGGCATTGGGCAGATACGACAGCGTGACCTACAAACGTCGCTAAAATAAACACTTCAATTAAGGCATCCATTTCATGAGGTATTTCCATATTTTTGTCCATCCCCTGTATGTACATGTATATATTGTGCTACAATTTTATGCATGCGAAATTCCAGAGACACGCCGTTTCAGTGTGGAAATACAATTTTCGTTGTATGGTCTGCTCCATGTGTGTGTGTTACCTTCTGAAGGTTACAGAAATGGCATATATATGAATCTTATCAATTGTGCCGCTACTCAAGAACTTTCCAGCATTTTATTCCTGAAATGTCTGCTGGTTTCACATGTTGCATTGTTCAGATTTTCCCCATTTATTTTGCTTGGATCCTGTAACCACTGCAATCTGGTTTGTTTCCTTAGATCTAATATATTTGAGCATCCTTCATCAAACCATAGCTTATGCTTCTTCAATTCATAATAGTCCACACACTCTTTGGCCAAAATTTTGATATTATCTCTAATAGTTTCCCAGGCTCTACTATCTAGTAACATCCACTAAGTTTTCCAAAGCTGCGAACCTATTTGAAATTTCAATACAATACTGCTCTTTTACCCTCTACCTCGTTTAATTTCTTGAGACTGAACCTCTTCATATGAATTCTGTGCGTTGTTTACACACTGCTAGCCTTTCCCTAACTTTTGCAGCCACCAGACAGTGGTCAGTATCACAATCTGCTGCCCTGAATAATCAGACATCAAGTATACTTGAATGCTGTCTCCTATCTATCAAAATATGGTGCATTTGGTTGTGCATCTTATCAGCAGGTGTTCAAGTAAATTTATGAATGTTACAATGTGAACATACTATGCTACAAGTGGGAAGGTTGCGGGATCGAATCCTGATGAGGTGGATTTTTCCAATTTACCTAATCCTTCCAGCCGCACTATGGTCCTGGGGTTGACTCAGCCTCTAACAGAAATGACTACCAGGAATATTCCTGGAATATTCTTGGGGGTAAAGGGCGGCCAGCATGTAAGGCTGACAACCTTACTGCCATCTATGAGCCAATGGTGTCGAAAATGTGGGAACCTCAACATCTCACAACCCTATGAGCCTCCATGGCCTGTTACAACGATACATTTACTTTTTACTTACAATGTGTGAACACTGTTTTGGATGTGGCAAAGTTTACTGTTTAACTCCATTATCATTATTAATTTCATGCAAACTCTCATTCCCAATTGTTGGTTTGAAATCTCTTCCTTATCTACTTTGGCACTGAAGTCTCCAAACATAATTTTCAAGTTGTATTTAGGGAATTTATCCAATACATGTTCTAATTCTTTATAAAACCTGTCCTTCATGTCATCAATTTTATTCTCTGTTGAACCGTGTACATTCAGAACGATGATATGACACCAGTGACCTCTTAGTATTATGTATGACATCCTATCACTAACGAACTCTACCCTCTTAACTGCTGATACAGTTGTCTTATTTAAAGGAAAGCTTGTGTCTAATTCATGATTCTTGTTCCCATTTCCATAGAAAAATGTATATTCGCCTGCTGGTTCGGTGCCACCTCCATCCTATCTGGCCACCTGTACTCCCACTAAATCTAACTTATATTTTGATATTTCTCCTGCCACTGTTCTAAGTGAGCCTGCCCTATACATACTTCTAACATTCCAAGCACAAAATCTCATATGCATTTTCTTTCACTTAGGTCATTTATCCAAAGAATTTGTCCAGGTCTAATGCTTCTTGTGATCTTTCATAATAAGCTTGTATTTTATGGTGAGGACTTGTTAGCCCCATGCCCAATCCACAAGCTGGAGGACCACTCCTTGTCGGAAATCTATGACTGCTTATTCAATATATTCACAGCTACCCTCCATATCTGGAGGCTGCCTCCTCCATCCGCAACCTGAGGATGTGCAATGCTGTGGTGACAAGGGACCCAGCTAACATGGGAACAACAAAAACAGTTCATGAAATTGTAGCCCAGATTTTTCTGCACCAACACACTAGTATATAATACAAGTCGCTCAGCTGGTCAAAAAATTCGCTACATTCTATGGAACCAAGAGATTCATCACCCTGTTTACATGAGCCAGCAGTTCACACGATCACATAAAGGCAGCACAATAACAACACATGTGCACACTTACACATTAAAAAATAATAAATAGGCAAAGTTAGAAAAGAGCTGTGACAATGTTACAAATTCAAATTCCAAAATTCTAATGTAATCCAGCAAATGAAACCAACTCTATTTGGTTGAAGACAACAGGTAAGCTGTCAAAAAATATGAATACACGCCTGAACATTTATGGTTACTGAAGTAACTGAACTCCTGCTGTCATGTGAGCCCATCAGCCCGAAGTAACACGTCCATTAAAGGCATCGTTGCCATTTGAAATATGATTTGTGTAAGAACTACGGGAAGCCAACACCTGTAAGCAAGTCTCATCTTCGCTTTCCCTTCTTCTGCACAAAATGTTTTATTGTTACTATAAATATAACACTTTTGGGAATAATTTGTGATGACTACATTCATTCAAACAATTAAGTCCATAGATGCAGGACCTCACATCAGGCTTCCAGGAATCTGAGAGGATAAAAAATCTGCTGATTTAAACTAGACGGTTGGTGGCAACGGCCAGGTACTCTGTCAACTGGCTGTTTGAATGGGGCCACTTGTTCCTATGTAATCATTTTATCCAGCTCTGTTGATAGGTCAAAGACACATCTAAAAGACCAGGAGGAAGTCCAGTGGTTAGCAGGAGGTCTAAAAGTAAGAGTTTCTTGCTGGGATAGGGAATATACTGGTGTTTATGAAATGAAAGGTGTTTCAAAGTTTAGTACGGTGACATTTAAGTTGAATGGCAAAGCCAATAGGAGCATTTTTTTTAAGTTTCATTGCAGACATGCAAAAAAAAATGTAAAGGTATCCCTGCAACAGGCTGTGGAGGCCCATAGGGTTGTGAGATGTTGAGGTTCCCACATTTTTTAGACAATCGACTTATAGATGGCGACAACGTTGTCAGCCGTATGCAAAGAAAAATCAAAATAAATTGTTCCAAATTGATCTGTTTAATGAAATATCTTCACTTTAATTTTCCAACAGATATGCCCAGTACAGTCACTTCAAGATCTACTCTGAAGCAGAATACTACAAGTTGGAGATTGATGGTTATGAAGGTAATGCCGGTGACTCTCTAAACGACCCCTGGTATGGCAGTAACAACAGTCCCTTCTCAACATACAACAGGTACAGCAGCTACTCTGCTACACTCATTCATGATTGATACTGTCTACTGATACCTTGGACAAGCTTACTTACATCTGGGAAAGCAGACACATATATACCGAATTCTAACATAAAATCAGGCCATCTTTCCAAAAAAAAATAAATGTATTCTGAATCTGTTTTTTGACCCAATATAGTCATATCTTAATCACTGGTAATTCTACCTACTTAGCATAGAAGTCTGATCAAGTGGATTAAATATGTAACTAGCCAGCTAAGTCCTTGAAGCAGAGTCCTTCTAAAGAAGCTATAGTTCCTACACTGTTCAAGGAATTTCTAGTCTTTTGTGAAGCTTGGAAGGTCACTGCAGCCTTCACAAGAGCATCCCATTGGTCCTTACCCTGAACCATTTAAATCCAGAACACACCCTCAAATCCTACTTCTTCAAGATCTATTTTAATATTATCTTACCATTTCCACCTTAGTGTTGAAAGTGATATAATTCTTTCAGGTTCTGTGATCAAATTTTGCATGCATTTCTTATATTCCCCATTTGTACATACCCCAGCCATCATATCATCCTTCCCTTGTTCACCTTAATATTTTATGAATTTAATTACTGGAGCTGCTTTTTTGCATTTAACAGCCAACCACTTTCTGTCTTCTGTCCCTGGCCCAAATATTTCCAGCACATACCTGTTCTCAAACACTCTCAATTTACGCACTTCACCTGGAGTCAGAGATTAAATATCACACCCACATAAAAACATGTATATTTAAAATCTGTATAACTTAACCTCCATGTTTTCCCTTCCAATACAGGGAGATTTCCTATACTAAATCAGTGTTTACTTAATTACAGACTATAACTCAATGAAGAATTAGACAGGATTCATAACAATTCAGCTAATGAGCCATCTACAGATGTTCAGACTGTGTAACCATGTTTCAGTTATGCACACAAACACGGTGCTACATGCTCTTCTTAAGCGACTGAGAGTTATTTACCTAGTCAAAAGTTACTGCTTTTATAGAACTGGAAGCTGCATAAGCATTCACAAAGGCCCAACACTGGACCTGTCTTCAACCAACTGAACCCAGTTCTCATGTTCGCACCCTATTTCTCTAAGATTGATTTTAATATTATCCTACTAATTCATGTGATTTCTCTGCCTGAGGCTATGCAACAAAAATATTGTACATTATTACTAACATGTCAAAAATTGTGTCCATACAGTATCTTTTTAATGGACATGCTGTGATTTCACTTGACTTCACGATTTTACTTTTATCCAAAAAAGTAACTGAAACTATTTAAATAATATAAATGCATATGTTAAGTACCTACTGATATCCTTACCTGCAGTTTTGAAAAAAGTATCCTAACTTTTTCCACAAAAGTAACTAAAACTATTTAAATAATATAAATGCATATGATAAGTAATTACTGATATCCTTACCAGCAGTTTTGCAAAAAGTATCCTTGTAGCTTTCAGTCAAAGAAATTTGGATCTGAAAAAGGACAAATAAAACTGGGTATAAACAAAACACATAAGCTCATGCTTCACAAGTAATTCTACATCCAGAATAGTCTTAGATCAGAAAGGCTGCTTTTATACTCTAATGCCTAGATCAAAAATCCAAATCCCAAGTTCTATAGCTACAGTATTAGAATTAATAATTAAAAATATGGTACCAGACTCTAAAAATCCAACATCACTGATACCAAAGCCTGCCACTGGATCCAATTCTGACCTAGTTTCATCCACCTTTCATTCCCACATCATCTCATTATCTTCAGTATTCGAAGTAAACATTTCCCAAAAACACTACACAGAGTCCAATGCAGTGTGATTACCTTCACAATGCTACTTTTATATTGAATGTCGAGACCAATAAAGTACATAACAAATCCATGAAAAATAATGTGTACATTTTATGGTAGGGGCACGCAGTAGCATAGTTGGTTGAGGCACTATGCTACAAGCCAGAAGGTAGCGGGTTCAAGTCCCGGTGAGGTCACTAGATTTTTTCAATTGACCTAATCCTTCCAGCCGCACTATGGCCCTGGGGTCGACTCAGCGTCTAACAGAAATGAGTACCAGGAACATTCTTGGGGATAAAGGGCCGCCAGCGCGTGGGTCTGACAACCTTGCCACCATCCATGAGCCGATGGTCTAGAAAATGTGGGAACCTCAACATCTCACAACCCTATGGGCCTCCATGGCCTGTTACAGGGCTACTTTTACTTTTTACTTTTTATTGTACAATAAGTATCAAAGATTTTGCAACACAAATGTTTCTTAGCACAACAGTTTTCATCATGGACATTAGTTAAACCCTACAGAGTCTTTGTCAGATGGCATGTAACCTGCTAACCTGCAAAAACGTAAGTTGTATTTTTGTATTAAATTGTGTCTGCAGAGATAATGACAGGTCAAGTCTGAACTGTGCGTCCATGCTGAAGGGTGGATGGTGGTGGAAATCATGTGGCCGGGGCCTCAATGGGCTCTATCTTAATGACCCTCAAGATCTGACAGCTAGACAAGGTATGGACACTCAACATATATGTGACAACTACAAATTACATTAGAGTAACCACAGATATTCACATATTCATTCGCCAACCAGCAGCCCACACACCCATTCTAACTGGCAACAACTATACTCTTAAATCTGCATTTCGGTCAAAGTCAATCTAGAAAAATCATCCATTTACCAAAACTCTTGATTGGCTAAACTGTTTTCACTAACATAAATTTAATGAACCATTCTTTACATAAAGATTAGCATAGTGGTAATTATAATCATTACAGGTAAACTCTAGTGGTTGAAAACTACATCTCCAACTAGTCCCGAGGTCAAGAAAACGTGGTCTATAAATCCACTTACCATATGCCTTCATGGCATAGTGTTTACTTAGTTAAGCTCAGGGAAAACTTCTTATTTTAATTAGGAAATATCAAGTTCACATGTGATACAAATTTTTGACAAACAGTCCAACAGTATTAGCAAGACAGAGGACACGTGATGATGGTCATATACAACCAAAACATGTAGATGAGGAAGAAGGGTGATTAGATAACAAGATGCATTTGAGATATAAATATATATGAAATAAACGTTTTCATGTATTTATTAAAGTAAATAAGACACAAAAGGAGAAGAAAGAAAGCCAGTCGTTAAGACAAATGTCAATGACGTAGATAAGAATTTATTCTGTTTCTAAGTACAATTTATTTGATGTTCCTTGATTTATGTTTTTCATCCTATTAAAATTTAAATGAAATCTCATGAAGTCAATAATCTCAATGCTACATTAATTCCATCTAAGATTTTCCTCAGTTTAGTGTCCAAATTTTGCTCTCTCCAAAGAAATCTTAAATGCAGCTTCCACCTTTCACTGTATTGCATTTAATCTCAATGCTACATTTATTCCATTTAAGATTTTCCTCAGTTTAGTGTTCAAATTTTGCTGCTCTCCAAAGAAATCTTAAATGTAACTTCCAGCTTCCACTGTATTGCATTTACAGTCCACCGGCAAGTTATCTATAAATTTGCTACAAGTAATGATTGGCTTTCATGGTACTTAAATGAGGCTAACAAAACTGCAGAGCTACCTATAATGCAAACTTAAATTTGTATTTACCAAACACTCGAACCATGTTTTTCCATAATCAATAGACAATGAAGGTCCTTTGCTTAGTATGTGTCTGTTTGCATTACAGAAAACAAAGTGATCCTCAACTGACAATTTCTATTTAATGAACAAACATTTAAAAATGTACTTATGCTAATCAGTTACTGAAATATTCTGCTATTTATGGTCTTCAGTTTCATGCAGCATTTTCAGGTACAGAATGGATAATGTTCTGACGCAACTATCTTTCTCATGAGACAGCGAAGAAATGGCTCTATGTGCCACATTAGCTGAAAGAATTTGCATCTTACCTACTTTCAGTTTCATCACTAATCAAGGGCTTTAATTTAATTAGAATATGAGTGACCAACCAAGATGTTTTATAGAAAGCCACTGTCCTTTCAACTAATTTCCCACAGGTACATAACACATCAATTTAGTTCATCCATTAAGAATCTGCCTGTAATAAGGAGTGAGAACACAAAATTAATACTGCCATAATCTAAACTCTTACTCAAGGGAAGGGAGCAGGCAGTAGCATAGTTAGTTGAGGCACTATACTACAAGCTGGAAAGTCGCAGGTTTGATTCCTGATGAATTCATGGGGATTTTTCAATTGGCCTAATCCTGCTGGCTGCATTATGACCCTGGGGTTAACTCAGCCTCTAACAGAAATGATTACCAGGAATATTATGGGGGGTGAAGAGTGGCTGGCACCTAAGGCTGACAACCTCACTGCCATCTGAGCCGTTTGTCTAGAAAAATGTGGGTGCCTTGGTGTCTCACAATCCTATGGGCCTCCACAGCCTCTCACAGGGCAAATTTTACATTTTATTTATATGAGAGAGGTCTCGATTTTTTATTTGGCAGGTGTTCCACTAAGTTTCATGCATCTGTTCCAGGTATTGTGTGGTTCCGATGGAGAGGATGGGACTACACTCTCAAGAGAGCTGTTATGATGATCAAGCCCAAAGGAACTATCAGTACAACTGCATGAAGAATTTACTTACTATAACCAAACTCTAAATTAAAAATCAAAGCCCTCCAAAAAGAGAAATACACATTTCTATTACTCATTAGAAAATGATAAACATTAAAAGAAGTAATTTGAAAAAGTCAGAGATGATGTAGCCCTAGATGGAAATGTGATGCAAAAAGGAGGGAATAAGTGCCGTCATTGGCACATGTCTAGTTTATTTATAGAGGCTAATAGGGCAAGAAATGCAATTTGTAAGTTGCTGTGTTGGCCCTGATTCTGAATATACCACAACTCAACCAATCACATCATCACATATATTGTCAGATGATCCTGCTTGATTGGGTTGTGACACACTTCTGTGGAAGGCTTCAAAATGACTGTACATAATTATTGGTCCATTTTCCTTAAATACAAGATGTAACAAATCTTGAAATATAAAACACATAAACCATAACAAAACATAAATTATTAAGCAGGGCAACATGGCAAATGTTAAAGCTTTAGTGCCCAAGTAGGAACTGATGCACTGATCCTCAGTTTCTTGTTACACTTGCAACTGGTGAGGCTCATATCCATTCCAAGTGAACAATTTCTCAGACTTCTTAAACTGAGCATGTGCTATGACATAAACTCAGCTTGTATTATTAAGGGTGTTTTTTTTTTTTTGCAATTACATTGGATGGAAATTGTTGGAAATAAGAATGGAGCTATTTCTTCCTTACAGTCACAAACATATTACCACCAATTTCAATCTGATGATATATTTATGTAATAATGACCAGTGTCTCATTTTTACTTGTTTTACCCATGAAAATACTCTACTGAAATTAAATTATTATCTTTTAATATGTTTTGATTATATGGAAATCATTCTCAGGGAACAAGTAATTACTTTTTGGTTGTTACTGTCTACATAACTACTTACTCTACAAAGTAAGTGTGTGACATGCTAGCATTTACAGATATAACGAACATCAGTGAACCAATGTATAATCTTAATGGTACATCTGCTGTTTATTTGCCAATACTGTTGAACAAAACTTTGTATGACAATACAAAATTATGATGAAATTTTAGACTAGAAACTCATACCAGAATCTAAGCACACATTGACCTTTTTCGCACATGTAACAAAACACCAAAATCCACTACTACCAATTTTTAATGGCAAAAGTTATAAATTTCTAAGCGCATTAGACAAAATTATTATCCCCTAGCAAGAACCACACGATCCTGCTGCTCTTAGTGAAAAACCAAATCAAAGTTTACTGATCTTGCAGTAAAAAGTAGTTCTTGTCTCATCTCTGATGGAAGTTGTTTTTGTTGTTTTTGTCATTACAAGGAATGTTCCATGTCTATTATAAAGAAATGGCCCTTATTTATTGTACATATTAGACATTCTTTAGAAATCAAAAAATAAGGAATACCTTATTTGGAGGTCATGCTTGTCTGTGACCTAGTAACAGCACCTATAGATGACAAGTTTTTTCTTACAAGTTAACAATGGAGACTTTCAGTAAATGGTGTCATGCAATTCGGATTTTTGTTCATGTGGAATCATAACAAAACTTACTCTACATAAGGTCATAAATGAATTGCTACATGTATATCGTTATATATATATATATATCTTCGCTAAATTTTGGTGAAAGTCAATATGAGAGACGTGTGCATAACATTAGATTGGCCATTTTCATTTTAACCTCTACTGACTGATTACAAAGCCTACTTTACTCAAGATTATAAATAAATTTTTTCATGTAAATTTGATTGTTTTTTATGTATAAGAACAAGTTTTTATGACCTTATGTACAGTAGGTTTTGTTGTGAATGCATACAGATGAAAATCTGAAATGTGTGACACCCTTTTGTGAAAGTCTTAGATATCAGTTTCTTAATGAGTCCAATTTGTAAGCACTGATACTAGACTATAATTGGATGACCAGACATGACTAGAACATAAGGCATTCTTTTTGTTACTTTGCAGACACCTGATCAGTCTAATCCACATAAGACATTCCTTTTCTACACCCTGTAAAAAAACTGTAATATATGAGATTTGAGGTTCTTGTGGTGATCACGAAGGGCACCATCTTCTCAAATGTTACATCATATAGTCCAGTAAATGTTTACCAATTTTGCAGAGGTACTAAATTCATCCAGAACATCAATAACATTTACCAAACTGCACAACATAACAACACAAAAGATAACACTCTTCAATGTCAAATATGTACCATAAATGTGGGACATTCCTTCATAATGACAAACACAGTAAGAACTACTTCAGACTAAAAGGGAAGTGAATGGAACTAGTTTTTACTATAAGAGCAGTCAGTACTGAGACTATAAACTCACATTCAGGTTTTTGTCAGCAATATCAGCAATGTCTAATTATTACTAAGGAACACTAGTTCTGTCTTATGTGTCTAGGAATTTCTGGTTTCTACTGGTATAAAGTCGTTTCGATGGATTTTCAGTTTTTCCTGTAACATATATGTCAGCCAGTTATAACGGTTACTTTACCTCTGCTCTATAGTGTGATCCACGCTTACCATGCAGTAGTATGTAATAATAACATTCCCTTAAAAGTTTTAACTCAAAATTCAAACCCAATTTTAATTTCATATCTGTCATGCATCAAATGGATTAAAAGAATTTAGCATTGCAATTAATTAGTGGAACTACATTCCTCAAAAGAATCCAAGAGAATTATATCATTTCTTAGTGATGAGTATTTCATATGCTTAAAACAGCCAAACAGACATGTCAGTCTATAGACAAACTACTCATAACTATGAAATGAAAGAGCATTTTTATTAATATAACTAATTAAATTAATATATTATTCTGTATATGGCTTGCCCTATTTACTGGAAAATATGCAGTATATACATCAGTGTGGTTGACATCCATTTCTATCAAGCCTGTTCATATTTGGGTTTGGTTTGTATGCTGGACATTTTTATCAGGGATGCATTTGCTCTATTAGCTAAATTCTTCATAAGTTGCGCAGAATTACATCACTGCAATTATGTATTAACGACATTTCTTACAATATATCAGACTTGAGGTTCCCATTGCAGTATTTAGATGGCAGCCTTGCGGGATGTAACATTGCATAACATGGTAAACAACTACCACACTACATGACATCACAATCTTCTATAATGTGTCATGATAACATGTATGGTATCCAGTATTTTGAAAACTGCATCTCCCACAATAGCATACAAAATCCAGAGTTGTATACATTTTTCCTAAATTCTTCTTTGTACATTTCTATGCTGTGTGGGTTACGTTCCTTTCCTATACAATTCTTAATCTAAGCCAATATTTATCCTGCATCCTACATTTTGTACCCTGCAACTACTCCCCACTTCCAAAATAGACAGTCATTGGAAAAAGTGCGGATCATATGCTGTAAGGTATCTTAAAAATGCAGTCCTCTTTAAACTAATCAGAACAAAACAAAATTTACTGTAATGCTGACTCTAGCAGCTAGCTTGTGGCTGATTCTCTTTACTGCCAGTCACTTGATATAAGCCAGTACTGTCCTACACCATTCTAGAAGCCAGTGTTTTTGACAGTGTATTTAAAATCATGTTCAAAATGTCAAACATGCACAATACTTCAATTGCCTTGTGAGAGCTTATTATATTGGCAGAGCAAAAAATAAACTTAATATTTGCAATCCTATTCAAACATACAAAAGAACTATTCAACCATGCTCTTTTGCATTAAAAAGACATGTATCACTGAAGTATGAGGGCAAGATTAAATAAAATAATACACTGCAGATAGAATTATGCTCAGACTAATTCATTCTAATGTTAAAAATACACAGGTTTATTAAACGATATCTCATTTTAAGTACTGCATTCAGACAGCACAACTACAACTTTTCCTGATATGGCTGTTTTAATTGTTTAACAAGTTAATGGTCACTCTTAAATATGCATTTAATTCTAAAGAATGTTCATGAATTGTTAGTAATAAGTAACATCATGAAAGCACCTAAACAAGAGTGAAGATGAAGAGCATGACTTTCATCCATAAAAGATTTCTTCTAAATTTCTTGAATTGAAGAGTTTCAGATACACTCATATTCCTGCCACACAACACTGGACTGCTGACACTAAGAGCAGTGTCACTAGTTTCAGGAAACTGAAGTGTGAAACCAAACTCAATTAGCATTCCGGAAAGACTGACTGATACACAGAGGTGGTCCACGTCCATCAAAAGACTAACAGAACGAAATTTCTGGTCTGGAGAGGAAAATATTTGTTGCAGGGATCACTACAAAATGTATTTACTTTTGAGACTTGTCACTATAAACAATCATGACATGTCCCATGATTAGAGACAAACAATAACTACCAGGACATTGGTCTCTTATGAATTAGTACATGAAGAATCTGCTTAAATTAAATGCATATACATAAAAATAAATGTGTCAGATATGTAGTGAAACATCTGCAATAGGTTTATTGCATCTGTTTTCAAATAACTAAGTTACGTACTTTAACTCTGTTCAAGCAACATTTCACAGCCAATAAAGTAGCTACAGTAATCCCTACAGGAGGCCACTGCACAGCCATCAAACTAAACTAATGGGTTAAAATACAGATTTACTGATCTTCATATTCATTAGCCTCATCCCTAATCACACTGGTTTGATCCTCCACATCTACCATGAGCGCAGGTACTTCAAGAGGTACCATTTGGAAGGGATGTTAATACTTGAGCTCTGATATAAGAACCTGACAAATTCCCCAAATTTGCAGTCAATCTCCTAATTCCTCATGCCAATTCAGTGGCAGAACAATGAGAGTTAATGTGACATCAAATACTTCTATATAGAATATTCCATCTTCATTCTAGCACTACTGAAGTCAAGTGTCTTGCATGAGTGGTCTAAGAATGTATGTAATGAAATAAAGGACAAAATCATAATTTATAAAAGCTAATAAATTATTTTTAAATGCCATGTTCAAATATTTGACAATGACAGTAACAAAGAATATATAACTGTGATTAATTTAAAAACAGAATAAATAAATTCAAGATGCACATACAATTATCTTAGAATGAGATATGTCTACAATTACACTCTGTATTAATTGTTAAGGAATAAGATAGCATCAGGTGTAACAAGCTTTACTAAAAACTTGAGTCAATATAATTGCCTTACATATTTAGGTCCAAAAGGGCTCTCTTCAGAGGTGGAGACTGCTTACATGTGCATTACAATTATACATTAGTATTCTTCATATTATATATTTCTTCTAAGTAAAGCATGTGGTGGTGGTTTGTATTATGGTTGTTCTGGCTTCAGAATATGTTGTTAAATTGTCTTTACATAAGCTTGGTATGAAGTACTGGGCAATAATGTGTTGATAATTGTCTTAAATACCTCCCTACCGTTTTTGTTGGAGGTGTCGGCCTATTTTGTTGTAACCTGAATGCATTCAAGTTACAGTTGAAGATGGTCCTATGGGACCAAAACATGTTAGGCAATTATTTTAATTCAAGTTTCTGGTACAGGTTCTTACACTTGATGGTAACAGGCTATGCCATAGTCCAGGCAGTTAGTCACTGGGTTACCACTGCGACAGTCCAGGTTCAAGTCTCGATAAGGCCATGTGGGATTTGTGG